TTCCCGTTGTGTAGATCCTCCCCCAGACACACACTTCCCAGAATTAATAACAGCAGATATTTACCATGATTTTATGTTTTATTGTTAAATCCCAAAGTGCAGAGAAACTTACGTTAAAATCAGCCAACACAAAGCCCTCTGAAAGGATGGGTTGGATAGAAGAGAAGACTCTGTCCAACTTGCGCGTGGTGGGCTTTGCTTTTTAACCTGTTGAATTTCTTTTGAGCACCTGAAGCACCCTACCCTTCCCGATGTGGAGCAGCAGTAGCTTCTATGTTCTTTACGTCCATCATTTTAAGAATTTAGGTGAAAGTAATGAGAAATCAAGGTGGTTCTGGCCTTTCCTGTGTCTAGTTCAGGAAATTAATTTAAATAATTTTATTGCAGCTACCTGGTCATTATTACTGCTCCAGTTTTATTGAATGGCTATTATATGCAAGACACGTTGACAGCTATGTATTTGCTCTCTCATTTACCCAAGGCTATCTGTTGTCCATTTACTAAACATTTTTAAAAAATTATTTTTGTTCCTTAGCTTTGAAAAAAAGGAAACTGTCAATATTTGAACATTCTCTGTGAATTGTGCAAGATATTCCAATGTACCTTGCCACATGTTGATATGTAATGACCAGATTTAAGACTCTCAGATTCTTAGAGTTCAAATACAAGAACACTGCTAGCTATTAATAAAAGGTGTTAACTAGGAACATTTTCTGTAGCACTTTATATAGCACCTGCCTGTAAGAGAATGTTCTATAATGCTAAAGCACTAACTAGAGTCCTTTAGAATCTACAGTTTTGACCATGTCCCTGAAACCTCAATTCTCTGAGACTCATTGAATAAATTAGAAGGACAAAAAAGATTGTTCAGAGCCAGAAGGAAGCTCTGTGGGTGGTCACGAAGCAGCTTCACACACAGTTGATGAGCTACACTGGGAATAATACAGATGAGGCTTTGCCTGAATACAGTGGGTGCATCTGGTGACCTTTTGCTCAGTGGCACATTTCCTGCCTTCCTGGTCCCTCACATCAACACAGTTTCACCCGAAAACTTTCCAGAAAGCATTGTCATTTACCTCAGAATGTGCTCTGATTGAAGCCACAATGTTGTTCCTGAGACGCACCCTGGTGTTCCCTAAATATATCAGTGGCAAATATCGTGCAGGTCCTCATCCCTACAGATCTCAAATCATAGCCTCTCAATCAGGCACTCCTTTTATTAAAGGATACCACCTGTCACAAGCTTGCTTTTTCGTCAGGTGTCAGAAGACAAGGTGCATTCCATACAAATCTCTGGGCTCATTCTTACTATGTTCTGGGTTGCAAGGACTGAGTCCTCTTCCATACCACAAAATGCATATTTCTTTATTTTATTGGTCTTTTTACATTTGGATCTTTCATTTTAAGCTGTCAGAAATTCTTTGGGGAAGTAGTTGGGGTATAAATAATAAATTGATAAAAGAATTCATGATTAAAGAGCAGATAGAATCCTTCACTCTATCCTTCTGCTAACATATCAGTACTGAATATCAAAGGATGCCTCACCATTAGCATGTAATATGTTTCCTTGGAGAGTTTTACATTTATGTATTGGCCCTCTGAATTTTATATTGGTAAAGTTAACATGTTATATTGGTAAATTGAGGGGATATTCATTTATGGAGTTAATATTACCAAAAAGAGCTTTGACACTAAGTGAGATTTAATTAGAATGGTAAAAAGTTGCTTCCGGGCAGCACTTGAGAATATAACAGGAAAACCAATCAATCAATCGTGGGTAACTTGAAGTGCAGAAAATCCATGAAAACCGCAGAAAATTATATGCACTGAGTTGTGAGTCATTCGTGCACACGCACACACAAACACACACACACCTGTGTGCACGTCCCCTTCATGATGTGCTCACCTGAGTGTAAAAATAAATAAGCAGATTCCTCCATTAACAGTTTCATTACTCTGTGTTAGGCTAGGGATGAACTTTGGAAGCCGATGAGCTAAATAGTTTCCCATAAAAGATCATTTCATTTGCCAAAATGAAACTACTCTCCTTTATTAATGCTGTGATGAAATGGCCTGAAATACAGAACTGTGATCTGGCCGGAAAGGACGCTTGTGCCCAGCTCCAGGAAGGGATCTCTCCACACCCACGCCCACAGAGAGGGCTGCGGGGCTGTATTTCCGTCCCCGGCCAGCCCAGCCGTGAGCCTGTCATCCTGCCCAGCCTCCCCTCGGTGACAGTCGTATTGACAACATGTTATACTCCACATTGATTTTACAGTTAAGGAGCTGATTGTGATATATAGGGATTTTAAGAATTCAGCTGAGAGGCTGACTTTTGCCTTTTATCATTCCATTAAAATTTTATAACCATCTTTTTCATGTCATTTCATCCATGAATTCTTACTTTAGAAAGTGATAGCTACTGCTGTGAGCATAACTTTTCTCCTGTTCAGAGCTTTTTATTGTATTAGCCAACTACCCCAATTATAGTTATTACTCA